GCACCTGTGGCTGCAGGGTCCTCTCAGGAAGGCCCAGACTCTGCAGCAGGTGCTTATCAGGAAGACAGGTCAATCCACATGTCCACAGCTGTCCAGTTCCTGCCTGACCTGGACAGCGTCCCCTGGGCAGCCCCACGGCAGGTACGAACGAGACAGGTCAGTCCACGTGTCCGCAGCTGTCCAATTCCTGCCTGACCCGGACAGCATCGCCTGGGCAGCTCCACGGCAGGTACGAACGAGACAGGTCAGTCCACGTGTCCGCAGCTGTCCAATTCCTGCCTGACCCGGACAGCATCGCCTGGGCAGCTCCACGGCAGGTACGAACAAGAGGGGTTCCCGCTGCCCCGTGCCCTCCGACCTGCTCCTGTGATGGGGCTGGACACCCCTCCTTCTTTCTGTGGACCTTGCTGGGAATCCCAGTGACACAAACACCCAGCATCAGGCCCAGCTGGAGGGTGGGGCTCCGACGCCAGCAGAGCGGTCCGTGTTGCTGCTACCTCTTGGTGGGGGTGGCTTCTTCCGGCTTCACCCAGCCAGCCATGGCTACACGCGGGACAGGTGGGAGAGAAGACACTGGAGAGGAATTCAAACGTGCCACCACTGCCACCATTTCTCCCGTCTGCCCAGCTCCACAGTGTGAAAGGGCTCTCTCCCTTAACCTGGTTCTCAGCACCTTGGGAATCGCCATCCCCTCACGACCGAAAGGGAAACTGAGGCCCAAACAGATGAAGAGCATGCACCCAGTGACAAGTGGCTGAGCCCAAGCCAGTGCTCGGTCTGACTCCAGGTTCAGTTCTCTTTGTAGGATAAGCGGTTCCTTCCAACCATACCAAGAGAAATGAAGAAAAGCTGGGAAGGCGAGGGTCTAACTCACTCCTCACCTATCTGCCAGTGTGTCCTGCTGTGGTGGCCTGCATGTTGCTGAGAGGCTGGAAGCTATACCACTGGCGTTTCATGTACAGCAGGTCACCCTTGGTGGACAAGTTCCAGCAGAACTTCCAGACTAAGGCAGCCTAGGAAGAAATGCCTGATCTACTTTCAAAAATCAGCCCACAGAAACCTTACGGGTCACAAGTGAAGACTGCTCAAGAGAATGTTGGGAGATGAGCCCCCTCCGTTGGCCACAGCGCTCAGAACACACAGCAACTCCAACAAGGGGCTCAGACACGCCAACGGTCATGAAAACAGCAACACTGCACCCCGACGTGCATGGGCTGCCGCAGTCAGAGCCGATGCCATGGTGACCAACCACCGTCACCTACTCCCAGGTGACAGGTCATCTACAACGCTGTCTGCTGACGGCCCTTCTCCCTCCCAGGTCACCCTTTCTCTTCCCTACCTGCCCGCCCTGCACCCCCAGTCTCTCCTGGAGGGCCTGTCCAGGCACAAGTGAGCCGCGGACAAAGGCTTTCTCTGCTGCGGCCTGGCACACACCTTACAAGACTCCACGCACAGCATACAATGTTTTATTTAGTGCTCGTCTCCTCTGAGCTACAGTGGGGTCCTTGAGGGCAGAGATGAGTCTCTCATCTCTGGGTCCAAAGCACATGAAGGGCCTGGCACAGGGGAGTGCACAGTCAAGGTCAGTGGCTGAGAGAACGAGAAGGCAAGCCTCCTCCCTGCGAACCGGCTGGTGTCCACGCAACAGCGTGCCAGTGAAGCAAGACCCCGCAGGGGCCGGGAGCCTCTCGGTGGCCCCCAGCACACACACCAGGCGGGACACTGCATGAAAGCTGGAAACAGTGCCCCCCGCCCTTCAGAGAATGCCCTCGGGGTGAGGGGCTTCCGAGCAGAGTGCCCAACAGCTCAAAGACGGATTCCCTCACCCAGGTGTCCCCCTGCCAGGTGGGCCACACCTGATGACGGCTGCTGGGGAGAGGAGAGGACAATTACTCCACTGGAGCCCCTGGGCGCCCCTCCCCGCGGGCGCCCCTCCCCCCGGCGCTCCTCCCCCCCCCGGATGCTCCTCCCTCCTGGGCGCTCCAAGGCTCATGGCTGCCAGTGCCCAGCACAGCAGTCCCTCCACGGGTACCCCAGGTGGGGGCCTGGGAGTAGCCTTCTGTGACCGATGCTTACTGACAATGCTATGAGACCCACGGGCCCTGGAAGAGGCCCTGTGCCCACGAGTGTGCGGAAGGCTCTGCCATGTCCCCAGCAAAGACAGTTATGGGACTTGGTTTCAACTCAGAGGCTGCCAAACCCAGTCACACAACCTCACCCACCTTCACACGCACACGTCCTCTTACTTTGCTTTATGAAAACCTATTAAGATCCCACAGAACGAGTATTTCTAGAAAGACCCTTCTGGAAATGCTGGTGAAGCTCACTGGGCAAGGGAGCCCCTTGGTGCGGAGGGAACCGGATCCCGGAGGCTGGGGACGTGGGGGGAGGAGGAACGGTCACCTGGAAGGGGGCAGGTATGGGGCCAAGGATGTCTCAGCAACCAGCACAGACACTGCTGCAGAAAAAGCTGTGGGGCTAGGTGGGCCCAGTGAGACAGGTAAGAGAGGTCTTCCCACCTGTAAAACGGTAGCAGGAAGGCCTGCCTCGTCCCAGGTCATCCGAGGGGGCCATGGAGGTTTGCATGTGGAAAGCTGAGCCCCAGCACAGTCGCTGCGTGCCGTGGGCGTTCACTCAAACTCCCCTGGGTAAAAGCTATACACGTATAGGGTTGTGCAAAGAACGGTGAAAAGCACGCATAGTCTGGGACTATGAATTTCAGGGCCAGACAAGTCTATCAATAACCCCTGAAGATACAAGCGAGTGAAAGCAGAGTCCCTGGAGCTCTGAGCGCCAGGTGTCTGCAGAAGTTCAAGGACGAGGCAAGGGCTCTGGTTTAACCCTATGATCTGCTCCCTCCTGACTACGGACCTGATAAGAGGTTTCACGCCTCTGTACCTCAGCTTCCCCACTGTGCAGGATGAGAATAGATAAATAAAAATAACAAGAAACAATGCCAGCCTCCGGGGTGGCAGTACGGATGAAATGACGATGATGTAAAGCTGTTGGCACGTGGTAGGTGCCCAATGAACGTGTCTCCTCAAAGAAGGCTGGGACATGAGGGACATTTTAAAAGATGTCCGTCAGTGACAGCTAAAAGGCAATGTGTTTTGTCTCTAGTCAGCTGGAATACTGGTGTCTGCAGGTGGGAGGGTGAGAAGGTACAGAGGCGAGTTCCACTGGACGGCAGGCAGGGTTGGGGCTCTGGGCATTGTGGGAACAACTGCCCGGAAAAGCAGTCCAGTGGAAGGGAAAGGGCGCTCCTGTCCTGGGGATGGATGAACAGCAGCACCTCCTGTGGAGCCCAGATGGCAGAGCCCAGCCCACAGAAGGCAGAGAAAGGGCGCTCTGAGAGATCAGCGTTTTCTGAAGGTTACAACCTCTGTGGTATTTCCTGAGGGGCAAGTGCCTCACCCACACTGGCTCCGAGTGCGATGGAGGCCATGTGGCTGGATTTGAACTCTGACCCTGAGTCGAAGCTGTTCCACCACGTAGGCCATGCTGCCTCTCGGTGCTGGGACCACCCATTCACCTATCTTCTCTTGCCTGTCGAGATCCTCAAGGTAAAGGAGTGGGCAGCCTCATCTCTGCACCGCCAGCACCCCACAGCTCACAGAAACGCGGCCATGGTCAGCTCAATGAATCAGTTGCTTGTAAACGCATGAGCCACTCTAACACAACAGCACACACAAAGCGACTGGGCCCATTTCCTTTTAAGGAACACAGTATTAACAGAGAGGGCCAGTGGTGGTTCAGTGGTTGCCTTCCATGTGGGAGAGAACCACGGGGTCGATTCCTGCCCAATATACCTCATACAGGCACACCACCTGCCCATTAGTGAAGGCTTGTGTGCCACGATGCCAAACAGGTGGCAGAACCCAGACTATGCAGCATCCAGACTACACACCACAGAAACAAGGGAGCCCGACGAGGGAAACCCCATGGGGCCCAGCACCAACACTAAGTACCCTAGAAACAAGGGAGCCAGCTCACGGAAACCCTGTGGGGCCCCGCTCTCCTCTGCCACACGCATGACTGCCCTGAGTCGGGGTTGACGGGTGTCTCCTCCACGTTCTCTTCCTTCTCCCAGAAGCAAAAACTCGGCGGCCTCCTGAGATGGCAGAGACCCAAGCTAAAGGAGCTGGGTGCCTGAATCACTGTGTTGACCGCTGGCCAACCACAGCACCCAGGCTGGCCTGTCCCATGAGGGAGAACAAACCTCTGCTGTGTTGGAGTTTATTTTAGCCATAAACGTACCAACTAATGCAGTAGGGAAGGTGCTAGGGATGGAACCATTTCCCAAAAATGTGTGTGTGGTAAATCCTAACCTCTATGCCTGTGGTTATAGAAGCTCTGATGGTGTAGCAGTTAAGGTGTTTGGAAGCCAACCAAAAGGTCAGTGGTTCGAACCCACCAGCCATTCCATGGAAGAAAGATGGGACAGTCTACTTCTGTGAAGATTCACAGCCTTAGAAACCCAGTGGGGTCACTATGAATTGGAACTGACTCCATGGCAGTGATTTGGTTTTCTGCTTTTATACCTGTGGTTCTAGTCCCATTTGGGAATGGGATTTATTATTTGAATGTGGCCGCACTAACGGAAGGGTGCCTTAAATCAGTCTCTTCAGATGTAAAAGACCAGATTAAGCACGAAGGCAGTAGTGGGGGAAAAGAGATTCCACAGCACATGGAGAGTGCCAAGAAGCTGAGGGACAGAAACCAAAAAGAGACAGGGACCCTCCCCAGAGCTGACAGAGAAAGCCTTCCCCTAGCCTCCTAAACTGTGAGAAAATAAATTTCTGTTTGTCAGGGCCACCCCCTTGTGATATCTGTGTTATGGCAGCACTCGACAACTAAGGTCCCTCATGACCCAAATGCCACAGCAAAGACCTGCAAGTAGATAGCCTAGGAGGTGTGGATCCCAGCAGGACGTAAGCAGAGAGGAGCTGGGGTCATAACTGGGATTCGGAAGCTCACTCCAGTGACCACTGGAAGGACGCTCATGCACAGGGGTTGTTTCCAGGAGCCCTGGTGTTGCTGGCACTGCTCTCAAAGGAAGAGTGGAAGTTGTGAATGGTTTCCTGTAAGATCTGCCTCTCTCGTCCCTGCGGAAGAAACAGAAAACAGACACAGAAAGTCTTGTTAAGTCTTTTAACCATTAATTCAATTGACACAGTGCTGTTAGTGCTCAACTCATACTTGAGAAACCCATGGGTGTCTTGGGGAAAATAAATCATCTAATTGAAAGAGAACCGAGTTTAATAAAACCACAGAGTCAGAATCTCCCCCAGCACCCACCGTCGCAGCATGTCAGCGCTGGAGAGAGGTCCCTGAGAGCCGGCGGTCCAATCCCTGGAAGAGCTTGGGCAGCAGAGCCCGCTGACCCGCCCCATGTCGCACGGCCTTTCCAGCCCCCGGATTTCCAGGGTACTCAGGGCAGCTGAGTTTCTCTCTCTATAAGGTGAGAGCTCTTGAACTGCCTTTGCTCCCTGCTGCCCAGAAGATGTCAGGCTCCTTTTCACAGTGATTCACTTCCCACCCGACTCCTGCACACGCCCCTACACACGTGTTGAGAAAGGAAGAGGGGAGGAACGTGCATGTTTCTTTAAGCCCACGGAAGATCTTAGCTGCATACTGGCCAACAGGCAGCAATACACAGAAGTGAATCCAACAGCTTGCGTTCAAATCTCACCTCTCCTATTCACGTGCTAGGTGACCTTGAGCAAGGTACCTAACCTCTCTGGGCCTTGGTTTACTAATCTGTAAAATGGGGATAACAAAAGTACTTCAAGGGGTTGCGTTTGAGCACTGAGTTGCAAATGACCACTGCGTTAAAAAAAATATATACACATGCATGTGAACACACACATACAGAGGTATACACGTGCATGTGCGCACACACACACACACACACCTGGCTGCACTGTGGGGGAATCAAGGATAAAACTAGCCCTGCCACCTCTTGCCCCACCTTGTGACCCAGGTGAGGCTCTCCCGTGGGCTAGCTGGCCTCAACACCATCCTGCCTACCAGCCGAGTGGATCAAGTGAGATCTGAACGGACCACACAGAACAAATCCTGGGAGACAACAGAGGACGTGAGTGTGAGGGAGTGAGTCACTGGGCCCACGGCCGCGGGACCATGGTCATGGGGGACATCAAGCTCAACTGGCCTAACCTACTACACAGAAACATTGTCCTCCATCCTACTTTGGTGAGTCGTGACTGGGGCCTTAAAAGCTTGCGAACAGCCATCTAAGATGCAGCTATTGGTCTCTCCTGTCTGGAGCAACGAAAAATGAAGAAAATCAAAGATACATGGAAACAACTAGTGCAAGGAACTAGTGGACCACAGGAACCTCAGCCTACGTAACCCTGAGTCCAGAGCAACCTGATAGTGCCTGGCTGCTAATGCCAATCACTCAAAAAGGGACCAAAATTGGAGATCCTGGATAGAGTGGGAGAAAAATGTGGAACAGAACTCAAAATCATTTAAAAAAAAAAAAAAAAGACCAGGCTTACTGATCTGACAGAGACTGATGAAACTCCCAAGACTATGGCCCCAGTCACCCTTCAGGCCTGGGACTGAACTCACTCCGGTGGCTTCCAGGCAAACAGCAGACAGGCCTATAAGGTGAACACGTAGGTACAGTCCTTAGAATAATCAGCCATGGGAGATCAGAAGGGCAGTATTTGTACAGGGAGACAGATCAGAGGGCGGGAACACACAGGAAAGAAGGACACAGGGAGAAGGTAACCACAGGGAGGAGGTAGCAGAGAGCCATTACATTGTGGAGATTGTAATCCCTGTCACAAAACAAAATGATATGAACTGTTGAATGGAAAACAAATTTGCTCTGTAAACTTTCACCTAAATATTAAACAAAAAAAAGAGGACGTGAGTATGTAAAGTGAGACATAAAGTGAGTACGTAGAGCCTTTGGAGCCTGGGAATGAAGCAGTGTGCCCAGGAGAAGCCGTATTAACTCTGAGGGCTTGAAAGACACTTGCAAGACGGGGCGATCTACGTCCACAGTGATACTGCCTCAAAAACCCAAGGAGGGGTTGCTATGAGTCGGGTCCGACTCGACAGCACATAACAACAACAATCATGAAGCACGTGAGTGAAGGAGACCTGATCACCGCTCTGGCCAGCCCTCTGCCGGGTACTTGCCCTCACATGATCTCAGTTCATTCCCTATCAACAGGGACGTATGTTTTCCCGGTGCCTCGAGGTCTGCAGGGGTCAGGTGACCTGCCCAGGGCCACTCAGGTCGTCTGCAGAGGCACCACAGTATTCCAGATGGGCTGAGCTGGGTGCACTGAAAGCTCCTGTTGCTGTTAGGTGCCATCGAGTCAGCTCTGACTCACAGCAACCCTGTGCACAAAAAGAACAGAAGGGTGCCCAGTTCAGCGCCATCCTTGTAATCGTTGCTGTGCGAGCCACTGTTGCTGCCACTGTGTCGATCCATCTCGTTGAGGGTCTTCCTCTTTCTCACTGACCCTCAACTTTCCCAAGCATGATGTCCTTCTCCAGGGACTGGTCCCTCCTGATACCATGACCAAAGTGAGTGACATAAAGGCTCGTCACTCTTGCTTCTAAGCAGCATTCTTTCTGGCTGCAATTTGTTTGTTCTTCTGGCAGTCCGCGGTACGTTCAGTATTCTTTGCCAACACCATAATTCAAAGGCATCAACTCCTCTTCAGTCTTCCTTACTCACTGCACCTTTCACGTGCATATAAGGTGACTGAAAATACCATGGCTTGGGTCAGGCACATATTAGTCCTCAGAGTGACATCTTTGCCTTTTAATACTTTAAAAAGGTCTATTGCAGCAGATGTGCCCAATGCAATATGTCATCTGATTTCATGACAGCTGCTTCAATCGGCATTGATGGTGGATCCAAGTTAAAGGAAATCCTTGACAACTTTAAAAACTTGTAGGTGACAGCAACGTTGGCCAAGATTTGTTTTCTACTCTTCCCGTGAACCTAAGCTTCCTGACCTCTCCAGGCCGCCTCAGCTGGCTCGGACCTGGGGCAGGCAGCACGTGTGCAGAGGCGATGGCGTCCCGAGGCCGTGTGTGCAGGAGACAGAGTCAGAGTGGAAGGAGATGGTTGGTCCTGCAGGGCTCCACCCAGCCCTCTTCCCAGCCAGCCCTGAAGACTCAGGGAGTCAGGAGTTTGGAGGGAAGAGGTGACCTGAGGTCACCACAGCATGCGTGGCTCTTCATGTCAGTGACCACACCTGAACCCTTTTCAAGGTAAATGAAACCCCTTCCCACGCCACAGAGGTTTCAGGGCAGGCAAGATAACCTTTCTTCTAGGACACGAGGTTGACTTCTAAAAGTGGGTGAAAATAGCAGACGGGTTTGTCCTAATGCCTGTCCCTCTGATCACAGTATGTTGTCACAGTATGACCCCTCTGAGGGCAGGCAAGCTTGTGCCTCATCCTGTGGCCTTCGAAGGGCCCAGAGTCAGTGGCATGGGTTAAATACGTATTTTTAAAATCAACAAATATGTGTGTCATAAATGTAAAGCCAATTAAAAACGAATACTCTCTGGCAGATTATCCTCTGCTAAGAGTGAAAAAGTGAAGAAGGAAAAAAAAAATACAATCCACCAAATGAACCCAGACTTCAAACTTCTTTGCTTTCATTTCACAGACTCCCCACACCCCACAGTGGCCCTCTGTAGAGCCCTGAGTAGGGACCTCCATGGTAAGGAGGCGCTCTAGGCACATGAGAGTCTCCTTATGACAAGCCTTTCAAGTGACTTAAAATAAGCTGGATCAAAAGGGGAGAAATGCAGAATTTCAAATCTCACGGAATCCAGACTTCTGGAGTCACGGACACTGGATGAACTCCTAAAACTACTGCCCTAAGAGAACCTTTAAACCTTAAACCAAAAATATTCCCTGAAGTCTTCTTAAAACCAAACTACCATTTAGTTTAATTAGTGAAGAAGGTCAGCTTTGAGCAGGGTGCTCTTTTAAGATCTACATGGGAGCAAATTGACAGCACCACCTTGAAAGATTAGACAGGAACCTCAGGGAGCAGTGAGTTTATGTCAGTGGGGGAAGAATAACTCAGAGAAGGAGGGTGAGGCCAGTTGCACACCTCAGAGAATGGAACCAGGCACTGACTTGGACATGTAGAAATTGTTGAATTGGTGTACTTTCTGCTGTGCATATTCTCAGTTACAGTAACAACAGCAATTTTTAAAAATCTGGAAAACCGTCATCAGGATGCCACGAAGACAAACCTGAAGGCTGTGGGGTGGAAGGACAGAGCATCTGAGGTGGTGTCAGGGGACCCACAAGTCCTGGCCAGGATACCTAACCAGCTGTGGCACGGCCATATTCGGCTGAACTTCTGCACCTGTGAAATGGACCTAATGTTAACTGCAGGGGCTGCCATGAGGCTCAACCTGTAACAATGAACCGTAACTGTGTAAACTGCAGATAGATGAAGAAGAAATACAAGGGGTGACAAGTGCTGTTGTTACTAATCACCTTAGACTTAATTGCCACCACTCGTCTGTCAGTTTGTCATACAGGGGTGGCTTGCATGTTGCTGGAAGGCTGGAGGCTAGGCCACCAGTATGTCAAATACCAGCAGGGTCACCCATGGGGGACAAGTTTCAGAGGAGCTTCCAGCCTAAGACAGACTTGGAAGGAGGAGGAGGCATAATGACAAATGGAGAAAAGACTGAAGCTGCCAAAGATTTCATATTGCTTGGTTCCACAATCAACACCCGTGCAAGCAGCAGTCAAGAAATCAGACCATGTACTGCACTGGGCAAATCTACCACAAAAGACCTGTTTAAAGTGCTGCAAGATATCTCTCTGCAGACTAAGGTGTGCCTAACCCAAGCCATGGCATTTTCAATCACTTTATACACGTGTGAAAGCTGCACACTGAATAAGGAAGACTGAAGAAGAGTTGATGCTTTTGAGTTGTGATGTTGGTGAAGAATATGTCAAGTACCATAGACTGCCAGAAGAATGAACAAATCTGTCCTGTAAGAAGTGCAGCCAGAATGCTCCTTGGAAATGAGAATGGCCAGCTTTTTCTTACCTACTTTGGTAATGTTTTCCAAAGGAAC